CCCCACCCGCTAGGAGAACAGCGAGGCGGAGGAGGAGAAGCGTGCCGGCCGGTTAGCTGATGTGGCTGAAGCTGATCCCCCGTCCCAAAGGAGTCCCGCGGAGGAAGCTGGCAGCCCGAGAGAGGTGACGAGGTGGCAGAGTCATCCCGCTCCCTGGGCTGAGCAGGGTTCCCTTTTGGCGGCTGCTGTTCACGCTGACCGTTCAGCTCCGGAGCCCGCGCCTTTCCACAGGCCGGTCCCGCCGGGATCGGTGCGCTCGTCTCCAGGCTTACGCCGATCGCTGGAAGTAATGATTGGATGGGCAGGAATTTCACATCAGTTGGTGGCACTCAGCTGCAGGTAAAATGCGTTACAGCTTGTAAAAAGATCAGCTAAACCAACTATAACCCGCTTGACTTGTCCTAGCTCTGAAATCCGTAGAAAACCCATAGTGGCCTGTTTTTGCAGGAGGAAAAGCGCCCGCCTCCTCCGCCTCTCTGTCTGATCGGCGTCGTTCCCTCTTCTGGAGGGTGGCATCTGCGGTCATTAAGGGGTAGCGTTAACAAACGTTTTGTCTGTATCTGTCCCTGAAATAGGGTTCTGCCAGCTAAAGAAATTATTCTGGGATGTTCTAGTAACTGAGGTAAACTTGCCGGGAGAGCAGTCTTTTTGTGTGCCCAGTATTGCCGGATACGTGGGTGCATGGGGTTGTGGTGCGGGTGCTCCTCGAAGGGCCGTATCTGCGTCCTGGTTTGAAGCGTAAGAATCCCGATGGCTCTCGTTTGGCATATCTGTCCTGTCCTCAGGAAGAACCTGACAGGGAGCACAGCTAGGGACCGGTCTTTCCAGACGCCCTCGCCCCCAGGGAAAAGGAAGCGTAGTAAGGACTCCTCTTCTGGAGCAGCGCTAAAGAAAGGCCGCTCGCAGGCGTTCTCCCGGGTTCCGGAATTATGATGTCACTGAGGCCTCTGCAGAGCCTCACGGCCAGCGCGCGATTCGGTGGCGCATTCGTGACCCTCTGCGAACTGGACTGCAAGGGGGCCGTGAGCTCTCGTTTCTCGCTTGGTGAGTTGCAGGTGAGGCTCCGAACTGGTGCTTTTTGGCAAGTCCCCAGGGGTTTGATTTCTCTGGCCTCCTCTCCGGTCCGATGGACGGCTCGCACAGCCCTGAGAAGGTCTCTCAGACAAATGGCGTTCTTTCCGTGTGCCGCAGCTCCGGGTTTAAAGCTGACAGCGTTCCAGTTGCACTTTGATAAAAATACATGGTTAAAATATGCGGTCTGTGTATGGTACACGCTGTACGCAGGATGCGGCTAACGTTTGAACAAGACGCCACAGCTTTAATAAAACAGCGAGAAAGTAGGACGTGCTCGCGGTTTTGTTTGCATACTGATGAGGGAGCCTTTGCCTGCTTCTCGCACGTTTGGTTGTGAGCTTTGCGGGCCGCCCCGCTGCCGGCAGAGGCGGTCGAACCTTTGGGTGACTAAGCTTTGGCTCGGGGCTGTTTTTCTCCCGAGGCCGGCGGGTTCTGCCGCTCCTCGCTGCGTGAGCTGGTCGCGGTCTGGTCCCGAGCTCAGAGCGGCGGCTTCAGTCGGCGCCTGCCCTCGAGCGGGTCCTGCTGGGCTGATTGCACCCCGCCTGCTCTCCTCTGGCGATAATTTTGGGCAGAAGTCAAACGCCCAGTAACGCGCTCTGGCAAATTGCCGTCTCGCGCTGACCAGAGCCGATGTGGAAGCGCGAGCGGGCGGACTGCGGGGCAGGTTGGGTGCTCCCAGGGGCCGGCGGTTCCTGCAGCAGCCACTGCTAGCTCTGGGTCGCTGAGGCCCTGTGCATAGAAAAGCAACAGATTAAAACCAAAAAAAAAGCCTGAGCCCAAGAAACGAGCGTGTTTTTTATCTTAATGAAGCTCCTTGTCTTTGAAAGGGGCGGTATGGAAGGCAATCAAACTGGTCTTAAAGTCACCCAAAGCTTTGCGATTTTGCTTCTTGCCGTAGGAGAACCCATGCTATTTCTGACCCCTGCAGCCTCCCAGAGAGGAGGCAAGGAATGTTGTAGCTCTAACTGTGTTTGACTTGCTGTCTAGGAGGAGTCTTTAAAACCAAGACACGCTGAAGAAGGGCGAGAGTCTTCCTCGGCTTCTGACGCTGCGTGCCCTCCGACTCCGCTTCGAGCCCTTCCCGGTGACGCTGACAGTAGCCTGTCTGGCCAGAGCAAGGAGGAGTCCGATGGGAAACTCGCTGGGAAGGAAGTGCTGGGCGAGAAAGATGCCGCGGTGGAAGGTGACGTCTCTGCAGCTGATGAGCTGCCGCGGTCTCGGGGGGAAAGGAGTGCGACAGGGGCAGACGCGCCCGGCGGTCCTGGGCGACCTCGAGCTGCGTCTCTGGCTGCGGAAGCCGCCGAGGCAGGGTGGCGGGCCGCCGCTGTTGACGCCACGTCAGGTGATGAAAAGAGAGTGACTGAAATGAGGGAAGCAGCAGCAGCTGATCTGAAAACAGACAGCAGGCTGGATGCTGGCAAAGTAAGAGACCTGCCTGCACGGGCAGGGCTTGGTGGGGGAGCTGCCGTGGCTGTTCCCGTCGCTTTGTAAGGCCTTGATTCAGGAAAGCTCTCCCAGCGCTTGCTCGCTTTCTGTTAAGTCAGCGTAAGGGCTTTCCGAGTCAGCGGGGTGTTCCTGGGGGGCACGAGTGCTCCGAGCGCCCAGATCGGCGTCTTTAGTGCGCAGCTAGGAAACCGTTCTTTTCTGCATGCGCAAAGTGCTGTCCAAAGCAACCGACAGGCAAAAACCCCGAACTGTGACGCGTGTTTCGAGTCTCGGAGGAGAAATAAGTCTCAGCTTTCAGTGCTGCCATCTGTACCAAGCAAGCAGGTTTCATAATGAAGTTCACACCGAGCCCAGCTGTCCGCGCTGCTTTGTTTCTCTCCGTCTGTTGTTTCTCTCGGCTTAGGCAGAGACAGGGCGAAAGCGTCAAGCGAGCTGCCAGCTGCGACGTTCGCAGCTCTGCGGGGGGATGCGCCGGGGAGGCGCGAGGTCAGAGGCGGGGAGGACGCTGCCTCGGGGCTGCCTCCGGAGCTGGCGCCCGAGTCCGTCGAGCAGGGTACCGTCCGGGCTGCCCGCCGCTTTTCCAGCGCTCGCTGGGAGGAGAACTGGCAAAGAGCTGACTGCGGCCAGCTGAACCAGGGTGTTTGTGCAGTCTCGGGCAGGAGAGGAACCGCTAAGTGTCGCAGGGTGCAGATGGGTTCACGGTCCCTGCAGCTGGGTCGCCGGACAGGCGCGCGCTGTCCGCTCTTGCTCAGCGTCCCCCAGAAACGCTCCAACATGAGCTCTGAATAACCGTTTCTTTCCAATCTAGTCTCCTTCCTGCCGATTTTGGTGACTTTTCTAGTTCCACTGATGCGTAATGTCTCGAAGAAACGGTAAGCTATAGCGCTGAGCCCGGAAAACATGCGCTGTCCCGAAGAGCTTAAAGTTGAAAGCGTTGCTTTTACGAACGCTTACCTGCGCGCTTGCTTTAGGCGTCTGGGTAGTTCTGCTGAAGTCAGCAGGGCTGCACTGGTGTCTGCATCGAACGCTGGCGTATTGCTTCCCGATGGCTGGGCACAGGGGAGCCCTCGCTGCAGCTGGGCACGGCGAGGTGCACTTTTAAGGCCACGGTACTGTCCAGTGTGGCTTTAGCCATTCGTGCGTGGGCTGGGGCGTTCTCAGAGCTGCAGAGATCCACGCGGAAGGAGCAGAGGACAGTGAGCAAGTGCCCGTTAGCAGGGATGTTTGAAGAGCGCTTCTCTGCCCTCCCCAGTCCCATCTCCATCTCTGCGCTTTGTCTCTGTGAAGTGGCGTTTTTGTGCTTGTCTCGGGGTCACACCCTTAGTGTTTTTCCTGGGATATTCAATCGCCTTTTCTTCCCTGCGTTAGAGCGGCCAGATTTGTCTTCCCAAGATCAGTTGTCACCTCGCTGGAAAGGCCTAGGTGAAGCTGCGGGGGTGAGGCACGTACGGGCTGTAACGCACGTCTCCTTTCAGCTTTCAAAGGCATCGGAGAGCAGCGGCGGTGGGGAGGACTTGCAAGTTTCCAACCGCTCGGACCGGGAGCTGCTGCAGCCGATGGGGGGGCACCGGAAGCGC